ATGGTTGGTTTATAAAAAAGTATTAGTCCTAACTTAGTCTTAGTCTTAGTATTAACCTTTACACTAATCTTAGTATTAGTCCTAAGAATAGGTACACGTTTATAAAAACAATGTGTGGTCCTAATTTTATTAAGATTAACCAATGAGCGATTCGACTACGCGCATGGCTAGTAATATCACAGCATAATACTTGTTTATTATTCTGTGGTAATGTTATTTTATTTGTTTTGTTGGTGAGTGAAAAGAAAAATATAACCTATTACTATGGTAATGGCGTATTGGCGACCACCATAGACAAAGACAGGCGGTCATTATGCTACGAAATGCAATACTTGTGCATGCGCACTTCTCAAATCTTAGTCTTAATCCTAGAAAAATTAAAAGATGCGAACTTTCAAGGTCATGTCTTAAGACCTCCTTACGACTAGGGATTTTTATAAACCGATACATTACATTATGTACATTTAACTTATTAGGACTAAGATTAAGGTTAATACTAAGACTAAGTTAGGACTAATACTTTTTTATAAACCAAGCATTTTATCATACACACAAAATTATATTACAATTGCTGATATCTACTGCAAATACACCATCGTGAGTGTAAAAAGTACAATAACACACTGCCATAGTAATTAGTAACCATATGGCAGTAACCAGTAACCACGTAGTAACAGTTACGTAAAGTTAGCCAACCACAAAAGTCACAACCAGTCACAACTGACAACACAAAAATAATTTTTTTTTAGTTATATTTATATTTTGTTTGTGTTTTGACTTTTGACGTTTTAAGTTTTAACTTTTGATTGGTGTTCATGTTTAATTTTATGAAGTTAAAAAGATTTTAATTTATGGAATATTTTGAAATCGGTAGTTGCTTTAGGACTTACAATGACTTAGTTAAAAAACTGAATAAATATAGCAATAAAACAAATACAAAATATTTCAAAAAGGATTCTAGATTTATTACTCCGGGACTTTTAAATGAGGTAAACAAACCTCTTGTTTACTCAGAAATAAGATTTAATTGTATTCACAAAAGTTATAATGGATTATCCACTTCATCGGAGAAAAAGTAAGAAAAATGAGTTGCAAAATGACATTTTATTAATTTAATACAGTATGTTGTATTTTACGTAAAATTGTTTTATTTACCTCATTTATACTTTATATATGTTGTAGAAATAAGACAGAGTGTCCAGCATATTTTAGGCTTAAAATTACTGAAACAGGAACTGCCCTACAAATAATCGCAATGAATAATAGACACAATCATCCCTTAGAAATGACAGACTGGAACCAGGAAAGAGAAATAGAAAACAGAAATTCAGAGGTAAGTATATGTAAATATGTTGACGTATTTTACTTATTCAGTTTTTTTCTACACCAAAAGTAATTCCCAGGATAACCATCATTTAAACTGCAGGCCAGAAGTCGGTAAATGCCCGATTTACATACTTAAATAATCATTTAAATTAAACTGTGTTCGTGTTCTCTGAATTTGAAATGAAAACAATTCTGTCACATTAATTATAACAATTATCCTACATACAAATACTATTTCTTTGAATTGCCCCAAGTTTATTTGAATGTAATAAATATTACATATTTATGCAAAGAATACATTAAAAACAAAGAGCTTTTGAAAATCAACAGAAATATCTATATAAAAATATTAGATATATTTTTTTTAGAAAATGAATGAAGTAAAGCTGGATGTCATTATTGGTCAAGTGTTTCCAGCATTTGATGATTTAGAAGAAACAGTAATAAAGACATGTAAGGAAAATTCAGTCCAATTTTACAGGAGAGACTCAAGGAAGATTGAAAATGCAGTTAAGAGAAATGCCCAGAAAAATTACAATCCAGAAATTGTATATTCTGAAATAAAATATGCATGTATCTACGGCGGAAGAAAATTTAGATCGCAAGGGGTCGGAGTTAGAAAATCGAAGTAAGATTTAAACACAGCATTAATCTATTAATAAGTGAAGTTTTTGAATATGTTTGTTTATATTTTCTCTTCAGAACATTTAAGAAAGAGTGCCCCGCATATATTAAAGCTGTTGCTACAAATGATGGCCAACAGTTAATAATAAAATCAATTTGTAGTACTCATAACCATCCTGTAGTAAAGGTTAGTTTAATTAACTAAGTTTATAATAAATTATATTTGCATATCATACAATGCATGTTTGAGAATTTATATTCATTTAATACGAACTAAGGTATTCAGTAATAATAAAGACACCCAGAACAAATAAATTACTTAAAATATAATTTGATTAAAATCGTCTTCATTATGCTGTCCTGAGACTTTAAAATTGTTTTGAACAGATAGTACTTACGCTCTTATCATTTAATCCCATTCAACACCTTTTTATATTCTATTAATCTCATTAAATGTTTACTTACATATATTTTGAAAGATATTTTCCTAAAAATTGTATTTATTGCCTTTTAGGGGAACAAAAGAAAAAATTCTATAACAGATAATAATGTTAAGAAAATTCGACTACAAATAGAGCACAAAAGAATATCAAAAGATGAGGTGGGTTATTTTTTCATACCCAAATAGGTAAAAATCTACAATCGTTCTGCTTTCCCTCAGATCCCACTACCAATAGAATTCATAGATGTACTTATAGATGAAGAATATAAGCCAAACGTAAGTAGAGATAATTCTACTATAATTTATGATGATATCTTTCTAAATATACATTATTTCCAAATTGTGTTGTCAGTCGAGTGGTGTTTATCAGTAACATATAAATACTTAACTCTTGAATTTCATTTAGCCTCATTCTGCTAAACAGATTCATTACAATGGTACGTTTTAATCTCTGTTACATAAATTTGTAGATTTTCAGAAATGTTTAATAATTATTTTGATTTTGTTTAGGTTAACTTTACATTCAGAGGTCTGTGTGCCCCTGTCTTCACAGTCTTCAATAATGATTTGTAAGTATTAAAAATACAATTAGGCTAAATTTGCTAAATATATTTGACACATGTAAACATACTCTACTGAAGGTTATATAGGTGAAATTTTGCCTCAGTTTTATTTTTAGCTTGTTTTTATACGTAGGTACTACCATTTTTAATAAAAACAATTAGAAAATTTATTTTAACAAAACAAATCCAACATTCTTTATATCTGTTTTATTTTTCTTTTTAGTCAAGTGATAGTCTTATTTTAATTTGATTTGTGTTTTAATTATTCTTTTAATGAAACCATATTTTAAAATTTATAAATAAACCAATATGTAGAATCGTTTTTCCAAAATATATTTTAAACAATTTGATAACAGGCATTTTGGATAACTTCTATCAGTTCTTCCTGTGTCAAAAAGTTATCATACATTAAAAGAAGTGGAATCGTAGCAGACCACTCGATGTTTGACCAAAAATCTTTTTTTTATATCTCAGAACTCTATTGTATAAGAATCACTAAATTTGGTACACAGAGGTTTTATGATATGTGGAATCTGATGGTGCTATGTTGTTTGGCGGGCAACCCCCTTAAGACAATTTTTCATGGGCCCCCTTGTCTTTGAAGCCAAAAAAATTTGACTGCAAATTTAAATTTTTTAAAAATTATTAGTCCGCTAGAAAGCCATTGAATTTAGAAAATTTTTTGTCCCTTGATACTTTTTTCGTAAAACGCAATGTTTTTGAGAAAAATGTCAAAATGTAATCGAATGCTTATCGTGATTCGCCATTTTCCTCAAAAACATTGCATTTTACAAAAAAAATATCAAGGGACAAACAAGTTTCTAAATTCAATGGCTTTCTAGCTAACTAATAATTTTTAAGAAATTCAATTTTGCGACCAAATTTTTTTAGTTCCAGAGACGAGGGGGCCCACGAAAATGTGTCATAAGTGGGTTCCTCGCTAAAAAGCGTAGCACTATCAGATTCCACATGTCATAAAACCCCTGTATACCAAATTTAGTGATTCTCGTACAACATGATTTTGAGCTATAAAAAAGATTATTCTTAGGAGCAGATTTCAGGGGGCTGTAACTCCGAAAGAGGGGGCTACTTCGTAAAAAGAAAAAATACGGGTGCCTTAAATTTGTCTTAAGAATCTAGGACCAAATTTTGTTGCATTAATTTCGAGTCACCCTGTATATGTTCTTTTATTTTAGATAATACTTTGCCAACGTCATAAATGATATCTATTATTTAATTTGCATTTTGTCAGTAAATTTCATAACAAAATGAACAATTATGTAGTTCTGTATTAACCCCACCAAAACCGTACGCTTATAATTAGATGTTCGCTGCGTGATTATGACCCCTTGCCCTCTTTTCATTTTCCATAATGATTAAAAGGAGATTATTAAACAAAGTCATTAGTTCCTAGACAAAACCACTAGTCATTTTAAACCAGTTAAATGCAGAATATTCAAAAACTATATACATATTTTTTCAAAAAGGTTTTTCAGAGGTAGAGCAAAAAAGACTGCGATTTATCTGCGCAAAGCTAGGTGACTACGTACCTTGGGATAGTGAAATTACACAATGTCAAAAAAAAGTGGGCTGGGCGTTGGATCAAATGAGCCGATCTCATACTGTTTGCATCCTATAACATCAAGCAGCTCCACTAGAATGCCGTGTTTGAGAGCTCAAACTGACTTGAGTAGTCAGAGATTGGAAAAACATCAAATTCATGATTTCGTTGCACTATAATTAGAACCAAGAAACACTGTGGAAACATAGATCTGATACAACAAAGAGGTCCAAAACTATATGATTAGGTTTGTAGGCTTCCCTAACTCCATAACTGCATAACCCCATAACCAGGATGTGGGAGGATGTATAACCAAGAAACTCAGAAATTGCGTCCATATTCCTGTTGTAACTTCATATTACCTTAACCTGAGGCATGCAAGCTCCTGTACCTAATTGTACATTCTTTATTGTAAAATCAGTGATTGTTAGTTTGTACAATCAAAATAATTGGAAACAACTTAAGAAGTTATGGGGTTATAGGGTTATGGTATAGTGGGTTCGTGAAAACAAATGTTTTTCCAATCACTGGTTGCTCAAGTCAGATTGAAATCTCAAAAATGGCTTTCTAGAGAAGTTTTTCGATGTTGTTATCCAAAAACAGATGAAACTTGTAGTACACTTAACTGTAACTATACAATTGAGCTGTTCAATAACAAATTAGAGTAGTGCTGATAAGAGTGACAAATGGGCAGTATGCACGATAGTATGCCTTTATCTAGACAACAATTTTGCAAGTTTCTGTTTAAATAGTTTAATAAAAAAAGATTTTCGATTCAATTTTTCGATTTCCGATTTCAAGCCCCTAGTAGAGAATATTTGTGACAAAAAAATTTGTGAAAAAAAAAATTAATGAAATTGGTTAGCAACAGATTTTTTGTAATTTTTTACGAAATTTTTTTTCCTTAAATTATCAGAATTATGACATTTTAAAATGAAATGTTAGTATCAATTAAAAAAACTGTTACAGTATGAGTCCCATGATTCATTATCAAAAAAATATAACTACTTTAATTTTCATGAACCACTACTAATTGCAGATTATTTTTTTACGTGAAGTATCTCATATTTTGATTAAATTTTTATCATTTTTATCTATTACAGATATTAAAAGAATGGGGTAGTTGATTACTCTATGAAATTACAGCAAACCGATTTAATGAAGCAACAGATGTTTATGTAACAAATAATTTTCTTGAAGTACATACATAAATATCTGTTCAAATATTACGTTACGATACAGATAGGATAACAATTAGAAATATGAAATATCATCAATGAAGTCAACTGATGAATAATGTAATAATAATATTTCATTACTGAATATTTGTCTTGCATCTTTTGCAGCTGTACATTGTAAAATAGTTTTTAAGTTTTGCTAAATTCTACTTGTTATTATTTACTCGTACAATATATTGTATTGCTACTTTTATTTATTTTTGGAAGGAGTGTCAACGTGAAAATTATTCCAGAATATGCCAAATATTTGGCAAGTAATGGACTCAAAGGCGTGTTAGGTAAGTTCATTTATCTCGAATTATAATCAAATTATTCAAGTGTTCTCTTTAGAATTGCGTAAATTCATACATCTCAGTTCAAGGCCACTGATAAAATTATTTACAGCTAGTATCATGTTCCCACGAAGAAAAGAAAAACTGTTTCATTTTGGAGAATTAGTATAATGTAAATCAGTAGTTTATCTACCCTGTGTTTCACTTTTCACTTAATTAAAATTGAAATATTCTCATATTCTACAAGATAATTAATTATGCCAAAAGTGATTATTCTTATTATTTTTTTTTAATGATGGACTTTAAAATATGTTTTAATTTGTGCATTTTAATGAAATAATTTTAAAACTGTTCGAAATATGAGTATTCAAATATTTTGTTCTTTTACTATAGTGTAATAGTTTACTTAAAAACCAAATAATATAACATTAATAACAAATAATTATTTAAAATTTCAATTCACCAACATCAGATTCTTCTATGTATTTTTCAACTGTATCATTACTTTTGAAATTGAAATTTGATAGCTTAATATACAAGAAAAAGTAAAAAAAAAACTTATTTACTTTGTTAGTTTTTAAATGAACAGTTCCACTAAAGTAAGAGAACTAAATGTGTAAGATAAAGATAGTTTTTTCAAATTCGATAAGAGGTTTCTGGAAATACGTAAATTAGAATATATTTTTAGAAAAAAAATTGGTAACAAATTTTTTAAACAGTCAATCAAATTTGATTAAATCAGATAATTACTTCAACTAAAATATCAAAGCAGTGCATGTTTTATAAACTAAATGATAAATAAGTCTAAATTATGCATGGAACACTGGTAATTACTTGAGCCAATGTAGGGTAATATTTGCAAAAAATTGTCCTCTTATGATATACAGACTTATCTTAGGAAAAAATAACTGATAATTTAATATAAAGTGTCTGCAAATTTCACCGACAACGTTTGACTTCATATTCACAACAACAAATAAATACGATCTTTGAAAAAAAAATTAAATATAAAATTTTTTGTTTTCAAGTTACAAACCGTCAAAGTTGTCGAAAATAAAAGTAATTTAATTAATAACCTCATAACCCTTTTACCAATCGCGTTAAAATTTTGCAGTTTATTTGGACTATTATGGCGTATTATTTCGATCGATATACTAGGTGATACTTTCTCCGGTTACCTCTCCTTTTTAGTAGTCAAAACTTTTACACTGGTCATATTTTTTAAAACGGGCAGCAACATTGAAAAGGTCGTTCCTTTTTAAAAAAAAATTGTCTCCTGAGAAAATCGCCTACAGAAAGCCATTCTTGAGAAAAATAGCATTATTTGCAGATCCGTACGACCACTGTAAAAGTTTTCACAGTTAAAAGGGATTGGTAACCAGAGAAAACTATCACCCAGTATATCGATTTGATTAAAGCTTTAAGAAATAATACGTCATAATAGTTCAAATAAATGTGCCAAATTTTAACTCCATTGGTAAAAGGGTTATGAAGTTATTAATTAAATTAGTTTTATTTTTGACAACTTTGAAGGCCTGTAACTCAAAAACCAAAAAGTTTTCATTTAACTTTTTTTCGTAGATCGTATTTATCGTCATGAATATGCAGTCAAACGTTGTCGGTGAAATTTGCGGACACCCTGTATATTAGCTAAAGCATAAGATATGAAAGATTTACCTTTCACTGAATTCTTTTAAAAAAATTAAATTTTCTATGCAGTTCATGGGACCAGTGGAGAGGGTATGTCAATGACTGTAGCAGAGAGAAAATCTGTCGTTGAAGAATGGGTAAAAGCCGTCAAGATTACAAAACAGCATTTAATGGTGCAAGTAGGTGGCTGTCCCCTACCTGATGCATTAGAACTTGCGAAACATGCTGAACAAGTTGGAGTCGACTCTCTGCTTTGTTTGCCCGAATTATATTTTAAGCCATCGACACCTGCACAACTTATAGATTATTTGAAAATTGTGGGAGAAGCTGCGCCCCGGACTCCATTGTTGTACTACCACATACCAGGATGGTCAGGCGTCAATAGTAAGTGATTCGCTAAATTTTAAGGAGAATAGCTACAACTCTAGCTTTGAAACGCAAAACAGACTCTTAGAAAAATTGTTTATTTTTAGCTTAAGTAATGTTAGCTTTAAAAGTATCAATGATTGTTATAATTTCAGATGATAAAAAAATTTCTTGATAAGACGGATAAAAGGTTCCCGAAACCGAATTTTTTTTTAAATTAATTATTTATCTTTAAAATCAGTCTCTGGCTCAAACACATTTTAAGATAATGTGTGATAGTAGATAATACGTAATCTAAATAGTTCTAATGACCCCTGCGTGTGTAGGCAGTAAAAACAGGATATTTTGCTTGTCTAAACTCTTGAACTTTCTGATAAAAATATTTAAATATTACTTTCACTTCAAAATACTTAGCTGTTTAAATTTTTATATATAAAAAATGTTTTAGTTAATATGGCACAATTTTTAAATGAATCTGTTGGAAAAATACCAACATTCCATGGAATTAAATACACCTCGAACGATTTAGATGGTGGAGTTGCAGCTTTAAGAGCTAATAATGGGAAATATGCTGTATTTCTAGGAGCTGATACGGTAATTCTCAACTAATTTGCCATAAGATGTATTTGCTAAGCAAATAACAGGGTGTATACCAATTTGGAAAACCTGGAATTGTCAGGGAATTTCTTGGATATGGAAATATCAGGGAATTTCATAGATCTGGAAATATCAGAAAATATCTCAAATTTTCACAGAATTTTTTCAAATTGCAATTGTAATCGGTCTTTATTTATAAGACTGCCGCTAGGTGTCATTGCTCAAAAGTAAATTTGCTACTACAAGATGTGACAAGATTACCTTCCTTATTTCATAATGCAATAAAACAAAAAGTAGTATAGATATATTTTCAATTTTTTTTTTATTAAAAGCTCAAGCACCAAAGAGAAAATAAAGTGTACCAATGTCTTTGTGATTGGTAGAAAATAATCATTTATTCGGTAAAATGACCGAGATTAGGTAGTAAAAATATTTAAAGTTGTGGTTTACATCGTTTTAAAAATCATATCGGATAAGTGACGACCTCCATTGTCGATATACTGGTTGAACCGAATTCTGCTGTTTGCGCACCAAACGGTGACACATTGTGAATGCAAAGGCATCTGATGGAGTTCCTCGGGGGTTCTTGGCAGCCCAGTAGCGCATATTTTGCTTACTGACATATCCAGTCAAAGTAAAATGAGCCTCATCAGTAAAAAACACAAGCGCAACTTCAAGAAGTCGCCTTCGGAAAGTTCCTGCACAATGGCCAATTTGTACGGATGGAAAAGAAGTTCATAATGCATAATTCGCCTGACGGAACGATCGGAAATTCTAAGAGCAAAGCAAACTGCAAGCCTTTGTGCTTCAATGCTCTGAAGTGTTCTGATGGGACGTGCGTCTTCAGTTGTTCTTTTCTGCACAGAACCAGTTTCCCTGAACATTGTGACACACAAAAGAATTGATTTCCGGTCCGAGACAGGACAATGGCGCAATATTGAAGTGATTTCGGAAGGTGCGCTGGGTTAAAACCACCGAACGCCTCTAAGGCAAACGCACGCTGTTCTTTACTCCAAGCATGACGACTCATACATAAGTTAACAAAACATTAGAATGCCCCTCTTGAACTAGACTACAAACAGCCACCTGGGACTCCCATCAGCTTCAGAGCGCTCATTTCAAATAAGGAAGTTATCTTGCCGTACTTTGTATTTCTATCTATACCACCATCTGTGTTGTATATTTGTTGATTTATTATCATTAACAACTAATTTATGCTATAGTATTCCCATTTCTAGTTTTTTCTAAAATTACATAGCCCCACAAAAACAAGGATCACATCTAGTATTCAGATCCATGTATTTTTTCCGTTGAATCCGAATCTGCCTTCAGATTTGGCCCAACAGGTCTGAGTTTTCGGGAAAATTAAAAAAACAGGTCAAAATTCACAAAAAACGTCATTTATGATCGACGATCAACAAGAGTTATGCCATGAAAATGGCGTTTTTCATCTATTTTCTGTTTTTGAATGAAATTGGACCAGCTAGTCTGACTCTATGATGATAAATTGGAATTAAACGAGTGAAAAATCATACATCTAGTGAGCTGGTAAAATTATTTGATTTTTTATAACTTTCGTCAATCCAATGACGTTTTTTGTGAATTTTGACCTGTTTTTTGAATTTTCCCGAAAACTCAGACCCGTTGGGCCAAATCTGAAGGCAGATTCGAATTCAGCGGAAAAAATACATGGAAATACATGGGTCTGAATACCAGATCCGATCCTTTTTTTATGGGGCTGTGTTATTAATAAAAATGTTGATGAAAATTTTAAGGTAACCACTGCATAAAAAAAATTAGAAATGGTATTGATTGAAAAATGGAAAATGTTATAACCAAACTAGAAAAATATTTAAATATACCTGAACACTTGAAAATATCAAAAATACTGTGAAAAAATTTAGTATACACCCTGAAATATATACATTTTTTTTGTAACTATGTATATACTCTTTTCTTAGCTTCTGGCAGGTGCATTTGCCATGGGCTTTGATTCTGCCATCGCAACGACTTTAAATGTCCTACCGCAATATTCCATACAAATTTTGGAGGCCATAAAGGCGAATAAAGTTGATGAAGCTCGAGAAATTCAGAACAAATTAACTGATGCTTGTTCTATCATAACGAAAAATGGTAAACCGTATTTAACTTAACAAATCTTAAGTTTTCCACTTATTCCTTTTTTTTTAGGTGCTTGGGTGCCTACGATGAAAGCTGCCATGAATCTGGTGACCCCAATTAACGTAGGGGCCGCTAGGCCTCCTCTAAGTAACTTATCTACCAACCATGTGAACGAGATGCAGAGATTATTAACTGCTGCATCTGTGTTATAAATTTATATATTTTGTTGTACATATCCCTTTTATTTTGTTAATAAAATTTGAACCCTTTTCTTTTTTTGAATCAGCGAAAAAATACCTAAACGTAAAAAAATTTTTATGGACCTGATCCGTCTAATGAAAAATGTCAATCTAAGTGAAGGCGTACATATCGCAAAGTCGACGGCTGGCGTTTTAATCCGGGCGAATTAGACCAAATACATGGCTTTTTCAAAAATCAGGTCTAACTCGAATTCTATGGGGTTAAAATTAAGTAAATAATACACAGAATAAAAGCCTAAATTTGTGTATTTGTAGAGTTCGAGCGTCATATTGTTTATAACAAAAGAAAAAAAAATTATTGTTCTTTTTTCAGTTTTTGCTTATATCTCCTAAAATAAGCGTCTAATGGACATGAAGTATTCTTATCGATTTTCTTCCAGAGGAAATTTGCTACAAAGATAGGCTTTTGCGAAAGCTTGCAAAATTAGCAGTGAAAAAAAAATATGCAAAATTTTCAGAAATAAAAAGAACAAATTTGATTAAAATTGGATGAAACTACAGGAAAAGATAACCATTGGGGTACCCACAATTTGGACCCCGAATTTTAAAATGGCGGCCTATTGCTAAATTATGAAGTCGAAAACACGAGCGCATATATTTTGTGCCCAAGTGGAGATATTGAAATTTTGTAGAAAAGGTGCAAATTTCAGATTTTTAAGTTGCAAAATAAAAGAGATTAATAAAAAACCAAAAAAATGGTAACTAGGGTCCTTATCTCGGCAATTTTTTAATATGCAGATTTCAAATCAATTGCATCAAATAGTGCTTAAAAAAACATTAATTAAGAAAAAAGAACCGTCTCGATCCGACCAATAGGAGCCGAGATAATTTTTTTTTCTTTGAACGGTATTTTGGCTGTTCTATTTAATATTTTGGAATAATCTTGGTCTTGTTGTAAAGTAGACTTCCTTTATGCGCTGAATTTTTTTTAATGTATTCGACCACGAAGTGACCAAGTAAAGGTTTGTTAAAGACAGCATGATCTGCACGGCTGACTGGTAGTCAGGAAAGGGGAGCGCTGTGCGTCATAGTGCCCATGCTGCGCTCGACTTCTCATAATTCTTACTTAACAAATGGATTGTGTACCGGGATGCTTTTTTTTATTGACTTTTCACGTTTTCTTTTGTAATTTCATTGTACTTTCGATATTTTGAAAAGTAAGGAGGTCTTTTTACGAATTCAAAAACAAAAGTCAACTATTTCTTTATTATCGTCTCAAAATTAACTGTTACATTTATTGCGTAGATTGTGTCTAGAATATTATTGAATGTTACATTAATTACATATAAATATTGCATTTTATAGTATTTAAAAGAACTGTTACATTCAATTCTACCATATTTTATTTAATGAATTGTATTGCTAGAGAAAGTTCTTTTTTTAATTTTTATAAGAATATTAAAAATAAATATTTAATGAATATATTTTAGACTTCGATGAATTTTGCCATTGTGCCTCATTCAAGTCACGTGCTCTACAACGTAAACCATTAACTTGAAAAATTCATCGATGTCTAAAATATATTATACATTAAATATTTATTTTACTTTTAATTTTCTTATAAAAAGTAAAAACTTTCTCTAACAATACAATTAAATAAAACATGGTAGAATTGATTGTAGCAGTTCTTTTAAATACTATAAAATGCAATACTTATACGTAATGTTGATATTGTAACGTTCAATAATATTCTAGACACAATTTACGCAATAAGTGTAACAGTTAATTTTGAGACGATATTTTATACGTTTCATTCATTCATAATTTTTTTTCAAATAAATAATTGACTTGTTTTTAATACATAAAAAGACCTCTTTACTTTTCAAAATATTCGAAAATATTAAATAGAACAGCCAAAATACCGTTTAAAGAAAAAAAAATTATCTCGGCTCCTATTGGTAGGATCGAGACGCTTTTTTTCCTTAATTTATGTTTTTTAAGCATTATTTGATGCAATTGGTTTGCAATATGTATATTAAAAAATTGCCGAGATAAGGACCATAGTTACCGTTTTTTTCCTAGTTTTTTGTTAATAACCGTTTTATTTTGCAATTTTTTAAAATTTGCAGACGCGAGATACTGTAATTACCTTTCGTTTTCTACAAAATTTCTTGACTTGGGCAGAAAATATACACGCTCACATTTTCAACTTTATAATTTTGCAATAGGCCGCCATTTTGAAATTCGGGGTCCGAATTACGGGTATTTGTTGAGCACCCCAACGCTTTTCCTGAAGTTTCGTCCAATTTCAGTCAAATTCATTCTTTTTATTTAATGATGAAAATTTTGTATATTTTTTTTCACCGCTAATTTTGCAATGGAAACAAAATTTTGCGAGCTTTTGCAAAAGCCTACCCTTGTAGCAAATTCCATCAGGAACAAAATCGATAAGTATACTTCATGTCGATTAGAGGCTTATTTTAGGAGATATAAGCGAAAAACTGAAAAAAGAGCAATATGTACCACAGTCAATGTGTTAATAAAGATACAAATTTTTCTGTTTAAAAACGTATTTCTTGACTGCATAACCTTTTTTTTAATACTGTGGTTACACATGCCGCCAGTGACCCTTTTTAAGCATTACGTCAAGAGCGCCAGCTTGACGCCGCCTGGACGCACCAGGGTTCCAGGAAGGGTCTACGGCAGACTGGCACCAGCGACTAGATGCTTACTCATATACCTACAACCGATTCCACACACGGGAACTCTCCAGCGAACGCTCGCCCCGACATGTCTTTTTCACAAACTTAGTTTTCAACAAAAATACTTTATTTTTACTGCTGAGACAGCGTTTTATTTGCTGCACAATGAAAGCAACCCTCAATGCAAATGAAGATTAAAAATTTTTTGTCTGGATCCGTCCTTGGCCAAAAATTTGGACATTTTCTATAATTTTATCGTACGTACCATCATATCCAGATTCACTATTTATCGTCCATAATTTCTACGGGTCTGTTTAGAACACTAAAATATATTCAAGCAATTTGACGAGTTAACTGAGAACATTAAAACAAACATGTATAAAATTTCCATAAATTTATTTACACATAGCGTGAAACTATAAACTAGAAGGGCAATAAAATTTTAATCAGTTTGTGTCGTGTTCATGTAAATATATAAATGTATAAAATCTATATCTCAGAAATTTTCATATAAACGAAACCAAAATAAAATATGTATTACTTTAATTATTAATGGGATTATTAATCAGGTATGCCGGTGTTTCTAATTAGTGCCCTAACAACCAAAATAAAAACTTATTGACAGTTGTTACAAAGTTTAACCGATCAATGTTGAAGATGTGTCGGTAATGGTATTTTATTTACAAAAACAAATTAAAAAAATGTTTTGGTCAAAAAATTTACTAAACATGTCTTTAAAAATTTAGCCCAATGTAATTGGATTTAAATAATAATCTCTATTAATCAGTACAAGTCTATAAAAATGTGCACACATATAAATATACCTATAAATACATCGGTAAACAAATTTAATTACCCTTAATCACATAAGTATTATCAAATAAAATGACGCGCCCTTTTACATTTTTTTTTTAACTAACATTAAACCATAGAAAAATTAACAATAAATAACTGTAATAAATATCAACTGATATGATTGAAATTCTACAGTCGACAAGTGTTTCTCGCTGCTCCTTTAAAAAATTACAACCTATAAAAGGGCATGTCAAAAGAAATCGATGGTTCATTCACATCACAATAGTTTTTTTCAACAACCCAACGTTGCAATCACGACAGCGGTTTTTCTAAAAAAGAAAACTCGTTTGGAGTGATGTGAATATCTGTAAGGGTGGTTGTTAGACTACGGCAGCAATTGGTCAGAGTATAGTGCATCTGGATAACCAACTGGTGGGTTTCTTCTGTGGCTCTGAAGCTCGCAGCTGGTGCCCACCTTTGGGCGGATTACTTGCTTCCTATATTTTGCAAGAAAGGTTAATGACTAGCTATTCTGCAGAGTGTGGCACTACATCATGTCAAAAATGAAGGAATGTCTTCCTCAACCAAATTTAAGAATATTCTTTCTATTTATATAAAAGCTTGCCCTTCAACGGTTTGTTTTTGAGATAATGGACGTTGAAATTTTCAAAAAACAAAATGGTACATTTCAATCCAAATATTTTCTAATGGAGATTAAGAAATTTGTCCCAGAATATGTGGGCAATCTGTCGGATTTATACAGGGGACGTTAAAATAACATGACAAGTTCCTATAAAAATTTTCCTTAGAGGCCCTCCCAAAAGAGATACAAGCCCCTAAACAGGGTTCGTAGTGACCTGGAAAACCGGGAATACCGGGAAAAGTCAGGGAATTCATTATTTTTCATAAAAAACATGGAATAGTCAGGGAATTTTAAAAGTATTCACGAAAGTCGGGGAATTTGATGTTTGCAAATGGAAATTTTGTGAAAACCGGCTCTGGATTCTTGAAAGAGAAAACTATTTGCGATTTTGAAACTTTTATAACAAGTTCATTGGGTATAAAAAAGATTACGGAGTCCAGTCTAGAAAAAGTGTAATGCATAAACACCAATTAGTGTGTAAATATAACCAAGTGACTTGAATTTTCTTTTATGAGTAAGGGAAAACCTGGAAAAGTCAGGGAATTCTATATTAATTTTGAACTATGGACCCTGCTAAAGGACGCTCCTGAAGGATGTAATAAAAATCATCTTAACCAAAAATAGTTTTTTCTCGAAAACAGTTCATTTTAACAATATCAACCAAGAGTTTAAGGTTTAAGAGTTTTTCAGTTTAAGGTTCAAGCTATCTAAAAATATTATTTTTGTGCTTTTATTGTAATGGTGTAAAAAAAAATGATATTATTGTGCTACACCTGGCAAATCAAACAAGCCAAATTGTTTTCATGAGTCCATTTTTAAGGAGTCTTATATGCTGTCCATCATATTAAAAAATAATTAAATTATACAAAGTATTTTAAAAGTTATCAAAAAAAAATTGATTTTCAGGGGTCCTTTAGGGGCCTGTCTCTCCATAAATTTTTATGGGGACTTGTCATGTTATTTTAAGGTCCCCTGTATAGATCCGAGAGATTGCCCACATATTCTGGGACACCCTGTATATGCAATACATAAATAAAATGGCTTTCAACGTAGAAAAAGTGTGCATGTTGATTACGTTTCACATCAAAAATAAGATATAATATATAAGAAACGCTTTTTGTTGTCATTTTTGAAATGTAAATTTTATCTTTTGACTTTTTTTTGTAACTTTATATGTTTAGATTAATATACCTAGAATTTATTTAACGATTTTACAAAGTGTGTCCAAAATGGCATCTCTGTAACACTACACACTTTTTGATACAACTTACATGTCCTCTTACACTTTTAAAGATTCCTGTATTCTCATGAATATGATTCTTTTTTTTAACTAACTATAACTCAAAAATGTGAACCTCAAGATCAAACAGTGAATGTGTAATTTTTTTTTAAATTCATTTGGATGAGAAAAACACTATTTTTGACACATTGTAATAACCCAAAAGTATGTTATATTGAATTATTTTATTTGTCATTAAAAAAAAAACTGAAAAGCATTTCTTTCTAAGCAGCTTAAGTGCGATTTCTGACGTATTGGCTAAAGTGCTTCTGGTCCCCTGTATAGTCTAAATAATAGGATGAGGCTCTGTAAAACGGCACTGTTGACTACAAAAAAGGTACATCGATAATATTAGTAGGACCCGGCCAACTTATTTTAAAATGCAATTTGAAATATTCTGATCCGATCCAAACATAAAATTAACGAGAATAAATTTAGAATAGGTACATTGACAACTTTTTTATATGTACTATAGTTTTTATATTTAAAAATGAAAAGAACTACCATATTTTTTTAAGATTTCTCATGTCCTAAGATATATGTATTTAAAAGAAAGCATTTTGTTAGCAATTTTTTTATACAGCTATTTACAGTAAAACTGATGAAAATTTTGCAATTTAGTGTTCAGTGAAAGCTGCAGTAAAATTTTAGTAAGTAAAATTATTTTGCCAAATAAAGCATTCGTTTATATTAGAATTTTGAAGAAACACTTACATTTGACACAATTTTAAATATGATTTACAACGAAATAGACAATGCTAAAGAAAAATTTACTTTTTTTAAATTATCAATTATTAACGAAGAAAGCTACCTATATATTTCCAATTTTCTTTTTATTATTATTAATCTAACCAAATGTATTGAATATCAATTTTATAACTACATTTCAATATTCTGTAAATATACCCCTTATCAAAATATTTGATAATGTTGCTAGCGTTTTCCTGTATAGACAAAAGCAGATAAAATAAGACCTATAACATGCATCATGTACATCCACCCAAAAAATTAATTTAAGTCATGAAAATCATCAAACTCGAAGCATTATTAAGAATTGCGCATGCCTACAATAAAGAGTATTTACCTTCTGCCAAAGTACATGGAGAGCAAGAACAAATACAGAAGATTAGTATATACATAATACTAAAAATGTATTAATAATGTTTATTAATACAAGTATTGAGGCAAAGAACAATAGTTTTTTTTAGAGATAACTGATCATTTCCTTTAATTAAAAACATATTAAATTGTAATTACTCAAGTGTATTATTGGAACAATATTATTTTGTTCAAGGAAAGTTAATTTATACAAAATATTTGTATTAATAAAGAGATTACTGCTACAACTTAAACCAATAACTATGAATGATAAAACCAAACATACCAATTTCTTTTCCATCTTCGCTTTAATATCTCTAGCTAAGGTGAAAAATGCTTCCTCTACGCGAATACTGGCTTTAGCACTAGTTTCTATAAATTTAATACCATATTCGATAGCAAGCTGTTCACCTCTCTCCTTAGACACCTGTCGTTTTTCTTCAAGTTCACATTTGTTGCCCAGTAACATTTTCTCCACATCCGCAGAGGCATTTTCCTCAATGTTTCTTATCCAATTCTTTATATTTTCAAAACTTTTTTCATTGGTAATGTCATAAACTAACATAATACCCATTGCACCTCTATAGTATGCCGTCGTAATAGTCCTAAATCTCTCCTGTCCAGCTGTATCCCTAAATTAAAGAAAAAGTAGTTTAATACATGAAAAATTAAAAAAATATGTTTATTAATAATATAAGGTATAGGTTTTTAAAAAAATAGTAATTTACAACAATGAAATATAGAGCACCAAAATTTAATATTAGGGAATGAATAATTAAATAATTTAAAAATTGTATTAAAAACTTAATTAGAAATCACAAAAAAGCTATAACAAGGCAACACAATTTAAATATGCATTTCCAAAAGAAATGTTTTTAAAAATTATATCATATTAAATAAATACTTCAACAAAACATTAAATCAATAACCACTATACAGAATATCTACTAATTTTAAATTAGAGCAGAACATAGTTTGTTGAACATAACTGCACTTCAGTGTTTAATGATCCCTTGAAATTTAAACTATCATTTTTAATGTCTTAATAAAAATACCCATAACTTTTAAAGTAAAAGTAAAGTAAAGGAGTAAAACTAAATACTCATATACAGGCTGTTATAAATTCGCTTCTCACTACAGGGATCTTAGAAACGGCAAGAGATATGAAATAGCTTAAATGGGGGCAAAGTTGCATAATCAGGGGACCAAAAAATCAAGGCTAACATGATTAGTTTTCAAAATATTTGAAATAAACGAAATTTTGCAAATCCGTTCTTGTTTCATTTCAGCCTTGTTTGAGGTGATATTGAAAAAAGAAGAACACTTTCTCATTGCAACTTTTTACCCTCTATCGAATGGCATAATCAGTCTTTATATTCAACGTTTCGTCTCTCCAGATCCATCATCAACTTCGTTTTTTTAAATATAACCCTGGAAATTTTATTACATTTTTTGCAAGTCTTCATGACCCCCTATACTGTACTGCCTCAGCCCGAGCCAGATTCAAACATTTTGTCTTGAAAAATTCATCTTCAAAGTATTCGTTCCTTTATCTAAATTTTTTATTAAGATTTCTATGTTTATTGAATTATCATACACTCTAAGTGTCGTTAGACCACCTAGTTATTTAAACTACATGTTACCATCACAGATTACAATAAAACATTATTAGAGTTTTAATCTTCATCAAATTCAATAAGTTGTTGCGTCAAATTAAAACATTACAATTTCAATTTAATTATGACAAATTAATTTTAAAAAATGCACATGAACAATCAAAACTCCAAATGAATTTATTATACTTTAAAAAATTGCAGTAAACATTTCCATTTAGGCAAATGTTGAAGATGAAGATAAGTATATGATCGGAATTAATTAAACCTGTAACCGTAAAAGACATATCAGGTGTAATTGTATGCATATTCTGAAAAAAATAGATCAAAATTTGTTTGAATTTTGAGTACTCGAGAAACCTAGAAATAACTATGATCACGAAATTAAAACTAATGTTTTATTGTAACGTGTGATGGTAATAGTTTAAATAACTAGGTGGATTTCACAGAGTCTAACGACACTTAGAGTGTACGATAATTCAATAAAAATAGAAACATAAAAAAAATAGATTTTGGAACGAATGAAGATGAATTTTTCGAGACAAAACGTCTGAATATGGTTCAGGCTGAAGCAGTACAGTATTGAGGGTCATAAAGGCTTATTTCCAGGGTCATATTTAAAAGAATGAAGTTGATGATAGTCCTGAAGAGATGAAACGTTACATATAAAATTAATTGTCATTCGATAGAGGGCAAAAAGTTGCCATGAGAAAGTGTTCTACGTTTGTCAATATCACCTCAAACAAGGCTGAAATTAAATAAAAACGTTTTTCTTTCAAATATTTCAAAATCTATTCATGTTAGTTTGATTTTTAAAGGCATAATGCTGTCCCCCTGAATATGCAACTTTGTCCCATTTAAGATACTTCATATCTCTTACTGTTTCCGAGATCCCTGTAGTGAGAAATGAATTTGTAACAGTCTGTATATGAGGTGGAAACACACTCAATATCAAGTGAAGCCCCACTATTGACATTGATACTACTTTTACTAATAAAATATTGTAGTACCATATAGAATTCTTTTGAATACATTTATACTAAATATTTTTCAAATAAGGACTCACCATATTTGAAGTTTAATTTTTTTACCATCAAGGTCTATCGTCCTTATTTTAAAGTCAATACCTGAAATATAAAAAAAATCACTGGAATATAACCAAAAAATAAAAGTTATTGTTACTAAACACAAAATAAAAGGCTATTAAAATAATGGAAAATAAAAATTTCAAATTTGTTTGAATTAACAAAAAGAAAAAGTTCATATTTCCAGGTAGTCAAAAACAGTTATCAAATTCCACATTATAAACTTTACATAAACATAAAATGCATTTCAGTAAAATATACAAATATTTATAAAGTTCAAATGAAGATTATTCAAGCAGAAGTATAAAAAATTTCACATTTAAATCTGTTACAAGTATTCCACTTTTACTGTCGTTTTTATTTCTAACGAAATTACTTAATAATAAATAATTTACCATAGTAGTCAATGTCTGTATATGGAATTTAAGACTATTAATTATTGTTTAGATCATCCAATTAAAAAAAATGTTATTAGTCATCCAATCTTTTGAATAATTTCTGTGAAATAAAAGTAGATAATAGTTTTAAATTACAGTTCACTATATTAAAAAAATAACATAATTAATGTTTAATTTTGAAAGCTAGACGTTTATTAGGTGTGGTTAGAGTACTTATATGACCTAACCTAACATGACAGTAGGTATTATATGGGTTTCCTTTGACATCAACATCCTTTCTTATTTTTCATCAGCAGCCTCAGGTTAACAAATAAATAACCTTCGTTATCCTAAGCTCGAAGGTCTACAGGTTGGTAGGATTATCAAAATACTATCTGACTCACCTATAGTCGAAATAAATGTTGTATTGAAAGCATCTTCAGAAAAACGAAATAATACACATGTTTTTCCTACTCCAGAATCACCAATAAGTAACAACTTAAATAAATAATCGTATGTTTTTGCCATGATTTGCCACAAAACACTTCTCTTTGCCCGGCCACTATTTAATACTTTACAGATCCACGAACTTCTCTCTTTCCGTCTTTCCTCGTTGAGTTTACGTCAATGAACTCAACGATCCGAACTGAAGTGAATGTAACTTCACGTTGTAGAAACTTGAAAAAAATTTACAATGGGTTTTCTTTCTCCTCATTCGCGTATTGGGTAGATGAGTTCAAGAAACTTTTGTAATAGTCTATAGAAAATGAATTAAAGAAAGATAGTCGAATTTCAAACCTGTTCTATCTCTTAAAATAAATAACAGTATAACTGACAGTTACTAACGAATTCAATGAGTGATATTTACAAAAAGTAAAAAACCCTAGAAGCCTTTGTTTAAAATATGTATATATGATTGTATAACAATCAGGGATGTTAATCAATCAAGCACATAATATGACTATTACCTTTACCATGTATATAATTAATAAAGGTTATTTAGCTATAGGGCATTTTAATTGTAACTGCTCATTTATATTCTTGTAATCATTGATTATGTTGTTTTAACTAAATAATTTATGATGAGCCCCCAAAAAACAAATTCAAATAATGTTACTTGAACCACCATATTTCGAACAAATATATTGCGACTTTATGATAAAGAAAATTTAATATAATGTGGGGAATTTTTTGATTTTATAATTAACTAGGTACATTTAGTCATATCGGTTTAATAACACAACAGATATACATACCTACAATCAGATAAATGGAAAAAACATTTGTGACGTCTAGAAAATGTCTGTAAAGAAATATGTAGGTACAAACATTTAAATGCAAATAATTATTTTACTTTAATTATTCGAATTCCATTTATTCGTATGTTTTACACTTTAATCTAATAATGTACCTATCCATATATGGTTCTAATATGAATTACAATTAGCCTGTTTCAAATAACTTTATAATTATTTAAATTGTATATAGTACTATAATTCTTAGAAACTTTTAAGCCAGAGATGAACTAATAAACAAAAAATGAACTAATAAACAAAAAAAAACCATTTTGCTAAAAATTTCTAAGGGCGCCTTTACAAAGCGCGAAATTTGACGAGAAAGTCGCTCATAAATCATACTGTCATTATTTTTCTTTGACTTCACTAGCATTGCCATCTGTCCAACTGATTTATGAGGAATATACAAATCAAATTATATTAATTAACAAATGTATAAGTTACAGGGAGAAAGAGGTTAGAAATTTCAATTCAACACGCTGTAACTTATGAATTGCAATAGTGTTTACATTCCTCTGAAATATTTATAGGGTTTTTGAATTATGAAATTAAAATTTGGACATTTTATTGGTTTGATCATTATTTAATAAAGTCCGAGATGCCACTCAAAAAATAAAGGGCTAAGTTTATGCAGAGAATTAAATATTGATGATCAAGATATAATTTTTTTGAAGGATGATGGGTGTATGTTCCTGTTTCGTTCCAAAATAGTTAGCAGTAATCAAATATTTCTTTACAATCGGAAAACAGCTACTAGTGATCTGTCTGACCTCAGATCATAATCGAAAACCCTTATGATTTTAACTTTATGATGAAGTCTATGGTGACTCTTATAAATACTCGTGGAATTTATATGGATCATTTCACGATCGTCTCATAGTTCCACATTTATTCATGCTGGTCAGGAGCTTCATGATCACAAATTTATTAAAGGGTCGTATGACACTATGCTAAAATTAGATTAATTTCAGTAACTAACTAAGAACTTTTTAATCTTGCATTGTATCATACAGAAATTGCAACAAAAATTGTTGCAGTTTCCGTATTTTAAAAATTTTGGGCCGGAATAATAAACGAATGGCTCATTGTACCTTTTGCGTTATACCATATTCGATAGATGGTCGAAAGTAATAATTAATGCCGCTCTTTTTTGTTTATTATTTAGTCAATTTCGATTTATGCTCCAGTAGCAGGCAACAAACATTTGAAATTTAAAAAATATTATTATTTCAAACACATCTTCAAAAAAAAAATTAGACAAAAATTGTTGCTTTTGATGAGCTAAATGTGTTTAAAATTTTGACATTTATTTTTGGGCACCCTGTATGTACGAATTGGGTGGAGGAGAGAATAGCTTACAATTAGTCTTAACCTCAGAGGAATAAGTAAACATATTCCTCTGAGGTCTTAACCCATTTTTCCTGATATACATACATTGTATATACATACTAGTTTAAAAACAGAACACAAGTTTCATTTTATATCAAAAGATACCTTTTGCATTATTTTTTTTACTGACAGGAGAGGTAATTTAATCCCAAGTACATAAGGAATAAGAGATTTATTGAAGATCACCTTACGTGCTCGTTATTTTATATGAGCAATATGTACGAGTACGAGTACATACTTCATTTTCTTAACGATCACTTTTAATATTTTAATATCGCAGCTCTAGACAATTTTTTAAAGACTATTTATTTAAGATGCTTTAATTAGTCCTTATAAAAATTAAATATATGTGTTTTCGTTTGGAAATAGTCCAGTGGAAAGTGACATCGCAAAGGTGCATTTTCTATCGATTTGCTTAGCGGTAGGCTGCCGAATTCCCATATTTAACCTTACCTAAAGGATCAATAACTATAATAAGTGGTTAAAAAAACAAGCTAATAAAGAAAGAGCCAATAAAGTTAATTGCAGGCTTTCATTACAATAATTATAATCAATTAGCCAATGAATACAGCAGAAACCTTTTCGATAAAGGGGTAATAATTGCTCGTTATCGTCTTTACTTTATCATTTTATTTATTAACGGTGTTAGATTTCGCCGGTAATATAAATAAAAACGCAAAAAACATTTATCAAGTTAATAATATAATAATGTTTATTAGTTAGTAATTTTACAAAAAATATATGCACAAATTTAGTAAAACATGCGAATAAAAATGCTTCAGATACATATATAATTATGTTATTTCATATATTAATTTCTACTTAGTAAACAAAATACTCACTAAAGTAAAAAAACTTGAGAGTGAAAGAAAAATAAATTGGAAATGAGAAAAGTTCTCATTTGGGACACAATGGTCATTGGCGGCGGAACATCTTTTGCTGGGAGGGGGTTTGAGCCTCCTTGAAAAATGCAATCTCATAAAATAAAAACTAATAAATGTTACCAAGTGATCGGATGATCATTGTCAAGTTCTGGAGTTAGGTAACGTGCAACATCAACGAAACATGCGCAGGCGATAATACATAATTTTTGAAAAAATCTGATGTTCTCGGTCTACCTTGGGGGGGGGGGCTAGGTCCTACGTTGGGAGGGGCGTAGCGCCCTCTAGCCCCCCCTTTCCGCCGCCAATGACAATGGTACATAAAATATATTGCGGCACAATATAATGCATATTACTTATTATTAAGTCCACATCAATATTTAAAATACATTAACATAGTAATAGCTTGACAAAAATTACAAAGAATTAAGATTTTTCTACATAAGTTCGCATAACTTGTTTTTAATTCAAATTTCAAAATAAAACGCTTCTAAATCGCTCATTAAACATTCGTCAAACACAAATGTCAAATATTTGCAGATTATTTGGCTAAAATCTATAGCTCCGATTTGTATCATACTACGATGTAAAGATTTGAAGTATGAGCACATGGCAAATATCTTCTCAAATATTCCTAACCGTTCTATACATAGGTACCTACACATTTCTAAGTGGTCGTACGCCAACTACTCGCACACCATTTTTTAAGAATGTCCGATGATGATGCCAGTCCAAAATCCGCACCAAACAACGACACGTTGTGGAGGCATTTGTTTCTTAAATCGGCAAAGGTTTAATCAATTTCTACTTATGACTAAATGATATTTCCCTCAAAGGCCTCAGACATGATTTCTATCAATAAGCGGCATGCACATGATACGGAATATGTTTACGTTAAGGTTAAGCAAATATTTGGCAAGTGATCTCATCGTCCTGGAGCCGGTTTTATTTTGTTGCTGCTACTTGCTTCTACCTAATCGGTTTCATCTTCGTTATTAATTCTCTTCGCATTGTTTCAAATGTTTTTTCTTATTTTTATTTACACATTTTTCTAAATATGTAGTTAACAAACCATGGTAGAAGCGGATACCATGTCGTCAGTCTTATCTTATAATTATCTATATCAGTGCAACATTCATTTGTTACTCAGGGGCAACCTGATCAATCGTTTTTTTATTGACAAGGAGAAGGAGGATACAGAAAAACATATTTCCATATCATATTATCATATATTATATGTTGTATCGCCAGACGATATGATATGATTTCAACAAGTAGCAAACTGATCGGGGCGCATGTGTAATTTACATTGGAGGCATGACGACGCTTCCTATATTTGTTTATGTAGCGTTCCCGGCCGCCGCGACGCTTAAGATAACATCAAACAAGTGAACATCGTGCACAGCATACTTTCCAGTCGTTACCGCTCAGCCGAGTTTTTTGACGTGTGCTTGTTCCACATGCAGTGGATGCATTTTTAAGAATTTTGTAAGTAATACTTTACACAATAATTATTTATTAATAATAGTAATTTTTTGCGCCTCATAAATCGTTAAACTTCATATTTTTTTTATGTATGTGTGAATATCAGTTTTTATTATATACATTCATTATTGTAAATATATATTCATAAACAGAATATAATATTATTGAAAGCATTTTACTGAGATGAACTTAAAGTGGGAATATAACTTTGAAATATTCGATACCCAAAAGTGGTTTGGTTATTGGTACAGATGATTTATTAAGCTTCATTTTCACAAAAAGAAATAAACTTTTGCTTACATGTTATTAAAATATACTAGATACAGTTTTATTAGACAAATTATGTAGGTATGTTCTATGAGAAGTTCTGATATATTTTCTTACTCTTTCAGGAAAAATGAAAAATAACCGTTTACCCTTCTTTCTTAATAAAACCTTTATTTATTAGCCACTAGTAGACATTTCTGATTTTTGACCGAATAAGGAATATGTACACTGTATATTTTTTAAGGAAACAGCGAAAATACGTTTTCTATTTGTATTTCTAGCAAATAAATAAAACTTTGTAAAA